CAACACAGGTGCTGCCAGGACCGGCAGGAATGAAAGGGGCTGAGAAATGGGTGGCCTGGAAGGGGGCCAAGGCAGCAGGCCACCTGAGGGGAGTGCAAACGGCAGTAGAAAAGGACCTGCATACAGTGCAGACGGGGAAGGCGTGCGAGTATGAGCAGCGACAGCAGCAGAGCAACAGAAGGACGTAGAAAGTGGTAGGGGTGGGAGGAGAAGACCAAGGTGAAGGAGGAGACCCGAGATGTGGAGCGGGGAAGAGTGCAAGAGAAGATGCAAGCAGGGCAAGGGGTAGGAGTGTTGGTGCTGGAGAAGGAGACAGGAGAGCAGACAGTGAACCGCCAGACCCACACGGAAGGGGTGCAGAGCAGCCATCCTCAGCTTGGAGGTCCTGTGACTCGGGCCCGAGCAGCTCGAGCACGAGCACAGGAGGGGGCAGGTACTGGCTGAGGACAAGGGGAGTGATTAAGAACAGAAAAGGGGCATGAATGAAGGTAAGAAGAGAAGAGAGCAGAGACATGAGAGAAGGAAGCAGGAGGAGGAACACTGGTTTCCGACAGCTGTCACAAAATCTATTGGTAAGAACAATATATTCAGTTACGTACGCTAGTATGGTGTAGAGTGGTGTACAAGTGGGTTATGTAACATTGCCAAGGGGGGTTGTTAGGGTCCAGGGGAGTAACGCGAAGTTGGTAGCAGTGAGAATTGCGAAGTGCAGTAAGAGGAGCTCAGGGAGCCTCGAGGGACAGGAAATCGGCATTGGCCAATCCAAGGCTTCGGCGACTCGAACCTAACCCAGTCTGTCGAGCAAATCACGACTTGGGAAGGACAATAAGTAGCCTAGCCTAGCACAGACAAATCCGTTCTCTCGTTTGTTTGCCTAAAATAGTGGATTTACGTTGCCGTTCTAACGCTACAGCAGCTAGGTGACTAGGCCACTAAGGGAAGCCATCGTGTGGGAGCCAGAATCTTTCATGGTACTGGCTGAGGACAAGGGGAGGGATTAAGAACAGAAAAGGGGCATGAATGAAGGTAAGAAGAGAAGAGAGCAGAGACATGAGAGAAGGAAGCAGGAGGAGGAACACTGGTTTCCGACACTTGCGACAACATTGGACGGCTGCGACGTGCTGCTGGGACGTGATTGGCTGCGATGGCACAACCCCGTCATTGACTGGACAACGGGATCGTGCAGCATCAACAAGCACGAGGGGCTAATTAAACTGCCTGCATGGACACCTGACTACATCCAAGCCCCGTGCGTCAGAGCTATCACTATAGCTCGCCACTTCAACAGGGGCGCGCAGCTCTTCGCTGTTTGCTTACGTGAGTTGGCAGTTGACACCGACGGAAAAGACATCGAGAAGCTGTGTGCAGCTATACCATCGGATTTAGCGGAGCTGATTCGGAGGTACCCGGACATTTTCCCCGACGACCTGCCACCTGGACTGCCACCCGAGAGACCTGAGGACCACAAAATCCAGCTGGAACCTGGCGCGCAGCCGACTGTTCGGACACAGTGGCGGTTGACCCAAACGGAACTCGAGGAGCTGCGAAGTCAAATTGACGCACTGTTGGAGAAAGGGTTCATTCGGGCCAGCACATCTCCCTTCGCAGCACCAATCCTGTTCACTCCGAAGAAAGACGGCGGGCTTGGCATGTGCATCGACTATCGCGCGCTGAACCGGGTCACCATCAAGTCTCGCTACCCAATCCCACACACCGACGACCTCCTCGACCAACTTCGCGGCGCTCGCTACTTCTCGAAGATTGACTTACGTGGTGGTTACCACCAGATTCGAGTCTTCGCCGACGACTGTCATAAGACAGCGTTTCGCACACGCTACGGGAGTTACGAATTTATAGTGATGCCTTTCGGCCTCACGAACGCGCCTTCGACATTTCAACTCACCATGAACAGGGTTTTTCGGGATCTTCTAGACCGATGTGTCATCGTCTATTTGGACGATATCCTGATTTTTAGCAAGACAAGGGAGCAGCACCTCCGCGACCTGGATGCAGTGTTTAAGCGGCTGCAGGAGAATCGACTCATCACCAAGGAAGTGCAAGTTTTTTAAGCAGGAGTTGGAGTTTTTGGGGCACGTCATCTCACGCGACGACATTAAAATCGACCCGGCGAAAATCAAGACCATACAGGAGTGGAAGTCCCCGACGAATGTCACGGAACTTCAGAGTTTTCTGGGCTTTGTGAATTGCGTCAAGCGGTTTATCCCGAATATGGCGGGGATAACCGGCCCGCTAACCGACCTGCTGCACAAGGACACGAATTTTGTGTGGGGGGGGGAGGCAGAAGCGGCTTTCGAGGAACTCAAGAATTTTCTCGTTCCCCCTCCTGTGCTGCGCATCGCCGACCCATCGAAGCCGTTCGAAGTCGTCACCGATGCCTCAGATTTCGCCATCGAAGTTGTGCTACTCCAAGATTTCGGGAACGGGTTGCAGCCGATCGCCTACGAATCACGCAAGCTGCAGGCACCCGAACGCAACTACCCGATCCACGACAAGGAGATGCTCGCCATAATACACGCGTTCAAACTGTGGCGCTGCTACTTGGTGGGCGCCGATGTCGCTGTTCGCACGGACCACAAGTCCCTACAGTACCTGCGAGCCCAGCCCAACCTCAACCCGCGACAAATACGGTGGCTGGATTACATGGAGAGCCATTTCACCTACCGCATCACGTACAAGAAAGGGACGAATGACATCGCCGACCCCCTGACCCGACCGACAGTACAATCCGCTGCAGTACTCATCACCCATTCGTACCCATTGCTTACCGGACTATTCACCCACGGCTACACTACGGACCTGTTCTTCACAACTGGAAATCATCAGCAGGCCGCGACGTAGAAAGGGGATTATTACCTAAAAGCCGGAACTGACCGGATTTGGGTTCCCGCTTACAGGCTGCTTCGTGAACTCCTTATCCAAGAGGTCCACGATTCGAACTTCTCCGGACACTTCGGGGTTGATAAAACCCATAAATTACTGCACCGTCAATATTACTGGCCTGATTCCTCTAACGACGTGCATCGATATGTGTCCTCATGCAGGGTGTGCCAAGCCATGAAATCGACACGTCAACGACCAGCTGGGCTGCTGCAACCCCTCGAGCCACCCGAACGACCGTGGCAACAAGTGACAATGGATTTTGTTACGGGGATGCCAGCTTGGCCGTCCGGCAACGACGCGGTGCTCGTCGTCGTCGATCGCTTCACGAAAATGGCGCACTTTGCCCCATGCCGAACAACAATCACAGCCGAAGAAACTGCGCGCCTCTTCATCTCAACGGTCGTGCGACTGCACGGCATCCGTTCGGCGATCATCAGCGACCGAGACCCGAAGTTTACATCAAAATTATGGAAGGAGACGTGGGCGCAGTTCGGCACGAAACTACAGTTCTCATCGGCTTATCACCCATAGACGGACGGCTAGACCGAGCAGACCAATCAGACCATGGAGCAGCTGATCAGGACAAACTGCCCCGACCCGGCCCGCTGGGAAGATTCTCTCGCCATGTTGGAGTTCGCTTTCAACAACGCGCCGTCCAGCATGACTAATCACTCCCCGTTTTTCCTGAATTACGGGATGGACCCGACGGTTCCTAGAGCGACTTCTCTCGACAATCCGGTCCCCAGATCACAAACTTTTGTGACGGAACTTCAGGAAGTCCGAGAAAAAGCCGCCGATGCAATTCGCAAGGCGAATATCACTTCCCGCAAATACATCGACCTTCTACGCCGGGAACTCGTATTGACTACTGGGCAACTAGTGCTACTCGAGACGAAGAACCTGCACCTGCCCGGCCCGTCGAAATTACGGCCACGATTTTGTGGGCCTTTCAAGATTCTCAAGATGGTGACACCTGTCACCGTGAAGCTGCTGCTACCCGACGAATGGCGCATTCACGACGCCTTCCACGTCAGCCTGCTTCGGAAGTTCGTGCCAGCCACGATCGACATCGCGAGGCAACAAGCTGCACCAACTGCACGACCTGTCCCGGAGACTCTCGACCCCTCGAAGATTCTGACACATCGTGTTCGCCTTGACGCAGCTGGTCGCCACGTGGATTTCCTCATCCGTTGGACTGACCTCACCAGTGAAGATGACACGTGGGTGCGTTCTGACTCGCTCGACGCCTTGTCACTTGTTAATGATTACTTGGCACGCAGGCGTGTTTCGGATATTGACCGCCTTTCTTAAAGGGGGGGGTACTGTAAGGAATTTTCCCGAATTCCTTATCGGGGTTGACTGCTACGCGTACAGCCCGATTTTCGGACTCTGCACGTTCGGCCGATTTCAACGCTGCCGAGGCTCCTCGCGTCGCCTTCGGCATTTTCCATCGCCAAACCTCGCTCGTCCAAGGTTTCCTCCTAGCTAGGCTAGCTCCTACATTAGTGTGTTCCTTCATTGTATTCTCAGATCAGTTAATCACAGTCTCGTTATTCGTCTACCTGCGCACTCTCTTTTACAACTCATAACACCCATTCTCATTTCACTGAGCAAATGATAAGGTAAGTAGTATGCTGCACATGCACTGTTGTGGAGCAATTATCGCAGCAAGGGTGTCTGTGCAGCATACTACCGTATAGAAAGGTGCATGTGCACATGCCTACACCCAGGAGACTACCGTACGAATTTGGTCATTTCAACAGTCCTTCTTTTCTCCCCACTCTTGTAGGGCAATTACTGTAGTAATGTCTCTAACGGGTCATGGCTTGGGGTCTGGAAGGTTGTATTCAGCTAAGTGTCCAGTTTTATCTACTAAACCTTTCCGCTGCTGTACTGGAAGTGCTGAGAAGCTTCATAATGGCAAAATAAGATGCTAATGCAGACATTATTTTTTAGAGAATCCAAGCTTCACACACTGAAACATTATTTGGGCAATTAAATGTACAAAAATGAGAAATCCGTGCAGCATCCGACCTGACCTGGAACAAATCACAGTGGTACTGGTCTATCCTCTCATGTTCATATTCGGAAACAAACCCCTACAAAGCCGGTCCACTGCCCCCAACGCGGTATAGAAAGTCAAGAAACCCAGTAGCGGACAGCAGGCCCTTGCCAGTAACAAGCTCGATCACCAGTAGACCCACAAAACCTGCCATTGCTGCTCGGCCGTTGAGCAACTCGTTTTGTGGTGAGAACCCGAATCCGCCTGCTGATTCATCCACCACCATCTTGGTCTGTGGTGGCAAGGAGGGAGCAATGACAGCAAGCAGAAGTCGTTGAGGAAAGGGGGAGGATGAAAAGGGAAGGAAGGTGCTGATGCTGCATGTACTAATCTGTGCCACCCCATTAACGCATTTCAGGCATGCACAGTTCATTTTAAGAGTTGCAGGTGCGGACAACCGTTCATCTATCTCTTCTCGCTGGGGGTCATCATTTAGACAGCATTATGTGACAGGACTTCAATCGGGGTACAAACAAACACACCATGTGGTTGAAACAAAGAAACGATTGAAAAATTTCCTCACCTCGTTCACATTGACGTCAGAAACCGTTTGGCCGACCTTGGAAGCCTCACCCACCACCACCTCAGCAGCGCCGGCGGAGCCGCGGCCCATGTTGATGCAGACCTGGTAGTCCTCAAGCTTCACGGGGAACACCTCCAGCTGGCGGAGCGGCTTGGTCAGCGCGCGCAGCACAGGGTTCTTGGGGTACCACTCCTTGATCTCGCCGGTTTTAAGATCGAATGTGGTGTCAGTGGACGGACACACGATGCAGCCGTCCTGGAGGACGAAGAGAAAGAGGGATAGAGACGGCAGAGAGGGATAGAGAAGGCAGAGAGAATTTGAGAAGGGAGAAAGGGAGTTGGAGGAAGCGAGTTTGAAGTGACAAAGAACGTCCTGGTTTAGTCAACATGGACGGGTAGGGGATGAAGTGGATCGGAGACGGAATTGAGTGGGCGTACGCTTTAGAGTTCGTGCTCGCTTGCTTGCACTGGAAATCGACTGAACCAGATATACAGCGTGTAATATACAGCGCGTATTGTGGTTCCGTTGTAGGAGAGGAAAATGTGTGGTAATGCAACGAGTCTGAATATTGCCGTTACCAACCTGGGTGAACCTGGCGTTGAGAAATCCCTCCGAGTACGCTCCCTCTGCAGGCGAAATGTTCTCCACGGCGTAAATCTCGTTCCGGTACCAGAACAGAAGAATCTCCTGGCCGTCCTGCCTGATCAGTCGCCTCTCTCCCTTGGGAAGAGCCTCCATAGGAATTACCGGCACCCAGTTATCAGTGGACGCTGCTGCTGCTGTGACTTCCGTGCCGGCGGCAGCACACACGACCGACCTAAACTGAGATTGCGCGGAGGTTGCCTGGAACGAGCACAGCGAGACGCCATTGCTCACTGACGCTCTGGTGGGTGAGAGTCTGATGGTGGGAGCTCCTGTGAGGAAGGAAGAGGGGGTCAGCGCCTGACGAAGGGCGACGGACGGGGCCATTACTCCAGAAAGATATATATATCAAAGAAACAGTGGGTAATCCTGGAAACGAAAGAGCTACGCTGTTCAGACTCAACAATCGCGCAGGTGGAAAGAATTGTAAGACAAACTGTTTCGCACTTTCGTAATTCAGGGGAAGATTTCGCATTTATCCTTCTGAAATGGAAATGGCACTGCAGGGAGGGGGGGAACTTGCACACGAAGTTGGGAGAGAGAGGGGGGAGCGTGAACCTTGGGAGAATCCAGGTGGCCGAGAGATTGCCACGTCCAGTTCCCGCCAACCAGTCGCTTCTGGGAGTTTGCGCGGGGAACCATGTTCTAGACGGGGGTGTTTTGACCACGTCAGGGTGGATGCAAAATCTACGTGGCTGTAGCTCATTGCCCCACGTCGTTGCAGCCAAATCATTTGAAGTAACGTGATTGGGTGATTGTTGCTCAGAGAAGTTCCATATGGAGTCACCTGATGCAGAAACTTTTCATGGTTTACCGCCTCATCCATACAAATTCGTTTTTGAAGCGAGTACATTGTTATCGAGTATTTCTGTGTGCTACACCGATATGCGATGGCCGTCGATCTGGTTACAGGGTCCCAGAAATACCTGTGAGCTCGGTTTGTCGCCACATCTGGCCTAAGCTCATGACGGAATATTGCGAAGGGGCTCATGAGATGTCACATGTCCCTGAGCAGAAAACATGCTCAATAAAAAATGGAAACGGTCTGATATGTTGTAGTTAGATACGAGGGTGGTAGAGCGTGGTGCGCGTTCTAAGATTGAAGCACCAGCAGCTTTGGGCTCAACGCAGTACAGAACTAGGAGCAGTACTTCTCACAGGAAAAATATCACCTCCGGGAGTGCCGGCCCTAGTGTCCGCACTCTGGCGACTAAGGCCGTGCTGGAGTCCTTTTGAGAACCTAGAACTGTTTCGAAATAAGCATATCATCTATCCCCGCTAGGCCGTGCTCGTTTGTAGAACCAAGAACTTTCTTGTTATAAGCAAATTCGTTACCCCGTTATGGCGACAAAGGCCGTACTCGACATCATGCAAGGCGTGCTGGTGTCGTTCGGCACGAGCATGGCGACGGCAACGAGGGAGGAGCAGCGCACGTGGTGGGCGGAAGACGCCACGTGGCGAGCGGAGGACCTGGACTGGCGGGGAGAGGAGAAGGCGGTTTACGAGGCGGAAGGCGAACGCAGGATACGAATGCGGAAGTTAGTTTGTTCCCTCATAGTTAATTAGTCTGGTTCTTCCGTGTGCATCGTTTGTGGAACTCCTGCGACCGTGTTTGTCATCAACTCCTGCATAGAATCCAGATATATGTTTTCTATGGAATTGTAAATTCGAGTCGGCTTGAGGGTTCCTAAGCTTTCTCATTCCCTCGCTCTCCTATCTCGTCGCTTGCTCTGTACGCAGGTGGCACCAAGAGGATATTGACCAAATGAACCTGGAAAATGCGAGGGTATTATGGCTCAGGTAACACAGGTACTGCGCTACTGTGAGTGTATGCTCCATAAAAAATCATGAAAAACCTTCAGAAGGTGCAGCCTTGTTCCCGTTTCCCATCACTACAAGCCGTGAGGGTTCTCTAAGAAAAAATCGGGCGGTCGTGGGACCAGAGTAACTGCTGATTCAAGTTTTCCCCTCTCCGCGTGCTGCCATCAGGTTCGTGGAGAAGAATCGGCGTGACGTAGAGGAGAAGACGGAGCAACTGAAGGCCATATCCAGCATCTCGGCTCTCTTTGGTCTCTGTGCCACAGTCACGCTTACCCAGCTCAGCCTGGATAAGGAGGGAGAGACTACCGCACCTATTGTAAGTAGATTTGATTCCTTATTTTCGGCGCTATGTATGCAAAATTCCAGCCATTTGGTCATATTCATTCAAACACTTTTGTTCCACGAAGTTCTTATTTTGTCGTGTGTGCTTTTTCTCCATGCAGGGCTTGATTGCTTTATATGCACTCACAACAGCACTCGTGGTACGTGGAATTGTGTCAATTCAATCGCAGGGTGTCAGTCCAATACACCTCTCACTCATTCTACCACTCAAAACTGCAGGACTTCCCGTCACCATCGTCTCCCCCCATATGCATAATGCATTTCATGTACGCAGTTCTCATCCGCACTCAGCCACCCGTTTGTTCTTCCACTCTTCATGCACCCTCCCCTACGCTAACCCTCCTTGCCCCTGCCTCACACACTCCCTCTCTTTGCTCCTCCTCAGGAGGGCCTCATGATTGTCTCCATGGTCACCTGCGCGCTGCTTCTAGGAAGCATCTTGAAGGTCGGCAAGACCTTTGTGAGCGAGCGGGAGGAGCAGGAGTTCATGGCGGCGTGCCTTCGCTTCTGCGCGCTCTACCAGCGAGGCGACCGTCCTCCCCACCCCCGCAAGTCCTTTGAGGCCTTCTGGGCTTCCAGGTGATTCTTGAGGGTAAGGGTGGGTGGTGGGACGTGGTGGGAGAATGCCAAGGATGTGTCTGGATAGTGAATGTCAGGCGCTGTGCGTTTGGTCCGGCATTGTGTCACTGACATGTGTGATTGTTCCTGCTTGCGATGCATTTTCAGGTGTGAGGGGAGCTGGCAACTTGCCTTTCAATGCTGCTGCTTGGGTAAGATCTGGAATTTGACATTCTGGTGACGTTTTCTGCTTCTTGCATTGTCGGTGGCGATATGAGGTGTATCAATTCTGATGTCCTTTTCTGCTCCACCTGGCAGGTGTGACTTCTTTTCTCGTTAGCATGATCTCTGTTGGGTAAGTAATCAGGGATGGGCGTGGGCCTTGGTTGAAGTGGATGGGTTTGTGGCTGTAGACTTACGGGTTCTGAATATTTGACTTGTTTTTCCTTGCAGGTGGATTGTTTTCATCCCACATGAGATCACTCAGGTGTCGTTCGGCATTGCTGTCGCATTGGCCGTGTGCCTATGGTAGGCTGTTGCATCTGTGGTTCTCTTGCAACTAATGTATGTAACTGTTCCATTTCATTCGTGCCCTACATCACTTGATGAGTCACCATGTCGGCTATCTGTGGTTTCAGGACCTATGTTCAGTGGGCATGGGGAGCTTATTGGAGAAGTAGTCGAAGAGCCAAGGAAACTGGCGATTTACAATATTCGAGATCTATTTCTCGGTCATCTAGAGCATTATTTTCATCGTCTCGCAGGAGCCTGCCAGCAATTAGTGCTCAACCTCCTGGCGGATTTGCAGGTTTACCATTTGACTGGCATACTGCTCCGCACCACCTTCCGCCATAAATGTTAGCATCTATCGCACTCGCTCACAATCTAGAGGTCAGAGCTTCATTGGTGTAGGTTGGGTCCAGTCCAAGACAACTGCACCTGTGAAGCAGTTAACAATGCGCGATCCGTAAGCTATTTGCGGATCCCTCTTATCGGATATGAGAAATCTGACTCGCTGTCGGAACCTCCCGCGCGCTTTCAAAATTTTCCCGCGCCCCGACATTGCCTCGGCCTCACCCACCAGGCAAGCCAACGCGGCTCAGGCGAGAAGAAGCGACTGACACGCTGGGGAGACACGAACTGACATTCAACAAACAGAATTGGACAAACACGGAAGAAACCAGATGTTCAGCGAAGGCAGGACGCCAGGTAATGGTAGAGCTGATGCCTGGAGTCACTTGAGACATGTCATGGAACCACTGAACTATGAGTGACTGCAAAAGCAACAGCACCCACATCAGAAGATCCTTAGTCTAGTCAATCACGGAAGGGTTAGTTCAGAGCAGCCTGATAGAGTCAGCCTCCACCAGCATTAAGGTACTAGCCTAGTAGGCAGTGCGACCAGGAAAGAGTATCGATAATTTGCGGTTAGGTGTACTCGAGCGAGAAGTGTCCGTCGTCAAGGGACTCATTCTGGAAAGTGTCAGGGCTTGGGTGCACACCTGCGAGAGGAGCTATTGATTCATCGGTCAGAGATTTAATAGCGTAGCTCAGCGTTGTCAGGTTCGCCATCTATAGCCAAAGACTTTCCCGTTCTCAAATTCAGCTAGTCACTCTTTAACACCATGGAGGCTCAATCGGTCCAGGCTGGCGGAAGTACACCTCTTCCTAGAAGAGTCATTAGCGACGCAGAAACGAGAGTTCGAGTCGTCGCAAAAAATCGTCCGCGCATTCCATCTGACCAGCCACGGGAGGGGTTCCAGGAGCGTATGGTGATAGAGCGTGAAGAAGACAGTGTGAACCTGAACTTCCCTGATCCCTGGTGAGGAAGCTTCTTAAGTCGTTTTTTTCCGTTTAGTTTTGCATTTTCGCTTTTAGTTTTACCGGTGTTCTTGGTATTATTTGATAGCTCAACTCAACTGACTTTGCTTTCCTGGTGCAGGCCCGGAAAGAGCTTCAACCTTGATGCGCTGTACGATGAAACCGACAACAGCCGGACCATTTTCGGCAAAGAGATCGAACGACGCCTCGCATCACTCAGTGACGGCTACAGCCTGACGGTCCTTGTTTACGGTGCTTCCGGCAGCGGAAAAACTTACCTCATGCAGGTACGACCTGATTCTTCAGTGAACATTAAACAGCATAGACAATCAGCATAACAAGTTTTCGTGAATGTGTAAAACTTTACGAGTTACTAACTTATCCCTTTTCTGGTGGAGCAGGGAGATGGCGATGATGTTCCAGGGCTGGTATCCCTCTGCGCAGCGTGGATCGCAGCTAATCAGCTTGAGCGCGAAGGATACCAGGTGTCCTTCTCCTATTCCGAGCTGTACGGCAGCAAGGTCTTCGACCTTCTGCAGCCCCAGCAGCTCGAGATCATGGAAGACTCGGATCATGTGTTTCAGATTCCTGGTCTGCATGAGGTAAGCACGGATGAACTTTGCCGTTTCAGGTCATAGCAAACGAGGAATTAAGAGCACCTGGCTGTTGCTTCCGTTTCACACGTAACCGTTTCGTTTCTCGCAAGTGCGAAACGTGCGAAAGGTGTTTGGATACCACCAGCTTTACTCATTCCCTTCCGGTTGTCAATGGTGCAGGAAGAATTTGGTTCACTGGAATCGTTCCTCACGGCGTTTTCAAGAGCCAAGGGAAGACGACACCTCGCAGCGACGGAGGTCAACGCCGTCTCCAGCCGCTCGCACGCCATTCTCCAGTTCAACGTATGGCGGGACGACAATCCTGGCATCGTCGGCCGTCTCAAGCTCGTGGATCTGGCAGGTGCGTCAACCTTGATGTCTACGCATGCGTCGAGATATCCAACGAGCCAGACATAACGTTCGCAGCAAATGAATTCGAGAATTTGCCGTTATCAAGAGCATTTTACGTGATTTTCGAGTAATTTGTGAACGTCTGTCTGATGCAATCGTGATATTCTACTTTCCTCTCGTTGCAGGTCGCGAGCAGAACAAGGAGACGGGCAACACGGGCCAACGGATGACGGAGAGCTGCGACATCAACCTGTCGCTCTCGGCGCTGAGTCGCGTGATAGAGCAACTCAACGACCCGAATGCGAAGCACGTCTCTTACCGCGGAAGCAACCTCACCAAGGTCCTGCAGGACTCCCTTGGAGGCAGCAGCCGGGGAGTCATGATCGCCTGCCTGGTAACTGCTGCATTTCGCTTCTCCACTTCCTTCAGAACTCACGGTTTCTTTACACGTGCATGAGCTTCGACAATCTTGTCCTCGCCATACACTACGTTTTACGTTCGAGAATATTGAAGGATGGCATGTTGTTTTCCATGGTTTGTTATATTACTGAACGCTTTTCCTTTTCTGTCCACCCGGCAGGCTCCGAATGACGACAAGCTGGCGATGGCGGTTCTGGAGGTGGCGGCGCAGTCTCGCCTGATCCGCAACAACGTCTCCAAGACCGTGCTGCCTGCCACCCCGAAGCAGACCGTGGCGGACCGGCGCTCCCAGCTCTCCGCGTTCAAGGCGAAGAAGGCCGCCAGCAAGGCTATCGTCCCGAGCAGCTCTGCCGGGTGAGTCCGCGTCTGAACAAATTGAACTATGGACGATTCAACAACGTAGCAATGCTGACGCTGACGTATCACACGAGAAGACGTGGAGTGATTTATCTGAAACCACTGATTCTAAAGGCTTGCAAGCTGGTGTTGTGTGTGCAGGCCTTCTTCATTCAGTGCTCAAAAGGGTTACATCCCTTACCCTGCTCGAGTTCCACGAGAGGTAAAAGGGGGATTTGGGTTCGTGCATTGCAGAGTTGGTGCATGGGTTGGTGCATTGCTGGGTTGGTGCATTATTAAATCATAACTCGGAACCTGGAACTCACGTGCTGTTTACTCTGGGTTGTTCTCATGCATGCAGCAACAAGTGGCTGGAGAGCTTCACCGCATCCTCGACCCCACTCTCTTCAAGAGAAGCCCCATCAGAGCGACCTCCGCTACCAACTCCACGCCCAGCCTCATCCCCAGGCCTCGCTCGTCTCTGCTCACCCGTCGTCCCGGCGACTTCCTGAGATATGCTGCAGAGGCACTGGGAACGGATCTAGCACAAGAGGAACCTGATTCTGCAGCAGCGGCAGTGGCTGTGGCAGAGGCGGCATCAGCATCCGCGTCAGCGTCAGGGTCAGCGGGCGGTGGTGCAGAAAGGGGGGCGAGCAGCGGGGGTGGGAGGAGGATGCGGATAGCGGAGAAGATGACGGCGAGCATGGCGGCGAAGATGGCCTCCGCATCTGAGGCTCGCCAGGCTCTTGCCTTGAAGCGCAGCATGGCCAAGCACCACTCGCCAAAGAGGGCCGCCGCCGCCAGGCAGAGGGGGATGATCAAGCTGTCAAGCTCCGTCTCCCACGCGAAGCCAACTGGGAATGCTGCTGGGAAGGCTGGTGGGGAGGCTACTGAGAAAGCTGCCAGGAATCCTCAGCGCCAGGGGTCGTCGGGGACGGCTGCAGCAGCGGATGCTGTTGTTCAGGCAGCTGCAAACCGTGCAGCCGACGAGCTCCAGCGCCAGCGGTCGCGTGATGGCGTCGTGGCTGCTATGTCCGCTGCGGCAGCTGCAGCGAGCGTGGCGGCAGCAGCAGCGACGGCCGCGGGGAGTCCGCTTGCGCCGAATGCGCAGCAGGCGCATTTCCTCCTCATGGACACCCTGCGCCAGCGTCGGGATGGCGGAGTGCTAGCTGCAGGGGTGGGGGGTGCGCCGGACGGGGTAGGCGCACCAGAAGAGGACGGGGTTAGTGGTGAAAGTGGTGAAGAGAGTGAGCAGGGTTCGATGGAGGATGGGGACGAATTGTCCTTTGCGACTCCCGGAGGGAGGCTGAGTGACGGGGAGATGGTGGGCGAGAGTGAGGGCGAAGTGGAGGGAGAGGACGAAGGCACGAGTGTGCGGGACAGGGGGGTTTCGCCGAAGAAGCTGTGGGAATGTTACCGGGACAACGCTGCTGCTGCCTCTGACACGTTTGAAGCATCCACGTGCCATGGCAGCTCGAACGGCAGCACCACTGGCAGCAGCGCGGGGTCGGGAGAGGAGGCAAGCACCGCCAACCAAGACAGTGCTGACAGCAAGGAGGAGATGGGGACAATGGGGCCGCTGGAGGGGGAAGGCGGTGGCGTCGTGGGCATTGAAGGTGCAGGTTGTGGGGAGGCGGGTAGTGAGAAGGTTGAGGGCGGCGAGCAGGTTAAGGGCGGCGAGGAGATTGCGGGGGGGAAGGAGGTTGAGGGTAGAGAGGGGGTTGCGGGTGGAGAGGAGGTTGAGGGTGGAGAGGAGGTTGAGGGTGGCGTGGGAGGTGAGAGTGAAGTCGAGGTGGAGGCTGGTGAGGGAACGGAGGGTGGAGAGCAAGTTGAAGGTGGGGAGGAAGTGGACGAAGGGTATGAGGGCGAGATGGTAGGAAAAGAAGAGGAAGAAGTTTCAGGAATGGCAGCAGGCGATGGGGCTACAAGCGATCCCACGTTGGATGAAGAGGCAGCACATGCAGAAGCTGCAACCCATTCCGGTGCAGCAGAGTCCTCTCCTGCAGCCTCGGAACTAGAGCACATTTCAAGTGTGTGGGCGATGGAGGAGGTGGAGGAAGAATTGGGCGATGGTGCTGGATGCGGGGCCGTCGCGTTCTCTCTGGTTCCGGTTGCAGGGGAGAGCATAGCAGAGGAGGGCGAGGAGGAACAGGGAGAGGGAGCGCAGGAGAAAAATGTGCAGGAGCAGGGAGAGGGAAGGAGGGACCAGGTGCCGAATTCACAGGAGCAGAACCACGGCCCATTACCCCTGCAGCCGTTGACTGTGCTCTCAGGGACACCTTCTAGGCAGCCCCTCAGCACAGTATCGACCAACCAGTCATCACAGCGGCCTGCCTTCCTTAACGCTATGGTAAGTGTTGTCTATTCAAAGCCATGCATTTTAGGGAGGGCGCTCTGGATTTTATAAAGTGGCACGGGTGATATTAATGAAACGCTCGTTTGTTCTGCTGTCCCAGGTGTCGTGCGAAGCACCGGATGTGTTGCTTGAGGGTGCCATGAGGGGCCTTAGCATCGTGGACCCCTTGACCCCAGCCTGTGCCAAGGACGTCGGGACTCAGTTCGTGGTAAGTCCTTCCAATTCAGCTCGTGCAATTTGGGCATGCTACCTATAATGTTTCAATTTCACTTGAATCCAATTTAATTGTTCCGGGATTCTTTTCATGTGCAGGCTATTGCAGAGGCGGAGCTCCTTCAGAAATTCAACACGGCAACCAAGTAAGTGCTCGGGAAGCAGCTTATAGAAAGCCACAAACTCTGCTCATTTCTGTTCTTGTAAATGTCCACCACCCTATTATGTGCTTTCGGTTACTAATGCATTCGCACATGTCTCCTTCCTCCCTCCTTATCTCCCTCCCTATCTCCCTCCCTCCCTCACTCACTCCCTCCCTCCCTCTTTCCCTCCCTCTCTCACTCTCTCTCCCTCCGTCCCTTTCTCTCTCGTCTCTACCTCCGTCCTTCCCTCCCTCCCTCCCTTCCTCCCTCCCTCCTTCCCTCCCCTCGCCACTCTTCATGTCTACTCTCGGAACCTTCCGCCACATGGGACACTTGTGCAATGCAGGGAGGAGCTAATGCAGCTGACGGTGAGAGTGCCATTTGTTTCAGCTGTAGGAATCACTCTTCTCAAACCACTTTCAATGTAGCTGTTTCCAAGAGTAAGACACTTGATACTGAAAGCCATCCTTTCCCTTTTCAGGGTATCGGTCCAGCCCGTGCAACAAAAATCTGTGACTTCCGCAATACTCCGGGTGCGGGAGCCACTCCTTTTCAAGCGGTGAGTATTGCTTTTGCATTTCCTGCAAGGATTCATTCCCCCTGTTCAGTGAGACTGAAACTGCGCTTGCGTCTACTGAACTTGCCATCATGCCCACCTCCAGAAATACTGGTTTGGTTTCCCGTGGAATTGCCATTTTATGGTTAGATGGTATTTTGGATGATACTCCTCTGTATGTTTCCTCCCCTGCGTGGTTCGTGTCGCAGTTCACGGACCTCACTAAAGCAGGGATCAAGCTCAAGACGGTAAGGCCTCAAAGTCCACACTTTAACGATCGAGCCTCAACTATGAATGCTTTGTTGTGCCCTGCACTGCATTGCACTGTACTACTGTTGTTTCCACTGCCAAAGTAACTAACACCAATGTCCCGTTCATGTGCAGGCACAAAGTATCCGTGAAGGCAACATCAAGAAAATGATCCACTTCTGAGTTTCTGGTCATGTAGGATACCATAAAGCTCCTCGCTCGGTGTATTACAGATTTTCCCACTGTCGTTGGTCAATGTCGTGATGACCACTTCATATAGATATATGCCATCCTACGTGCAGCGAATTATGGACATATACTCACTCGCAGTCTTGTGGTAGGATTGACTTATTTCATTATGTGGAGCCATTTTCTGGCATTGTTTTGTCAAATCATTGAGATAAGATATGTGACACATGAGATATCGTAGGGGAAGAAATCGTGGTGCACACGCGCGAAAGAAGCAAGAAATGTAGCAGTGAAGCGAATGGAGTCGGAACCTACCGGAACCGAAGCTTTCACCGGTACAGCTCTCCACCATCCCAGTTCGCGGTGCAGCCCGTGAAGGCCACGCCCAGACCACACCTCCCTTGTTCCCACAACTCACGCGAAACAGATTTCAGCGCCCAATAGACCACAGATGTACCGCTGTAAAGTCTCATCTCCACGAGGTGTATGCCGTGTGGCTTTCTCCACCGTTTCATCTGGGCTTCCTCCACACCACCACCGTGCCGTCTCCATGCCTGTTCCACGCCTCTCTCTCGATTCCCGTTGCAGAATGCCCCCACATCTTCCCTCCATTTATCCGTTCTTCCCCTTCAACTGTGCTTTCCCTGGGGTGAGCGAGCAGCCTGATCAATGAAGTAGGGGAGATGACAGCCGACATGTTACCGTAATCTGGTTTTGAGATGTCAATCACAGGGTGCAGCTTTTCATGGCTGGTGACAAGGCACAGCGACTGCTGGGTGTGTGCTGGGTGCTTCAGCAGCACACAGCCTCCGTATGGTAACCGCCTGTATGTCTATGGAGCATCTTCATTCCGTCGACCGATAAGTTGAGGGTTTTCGCTTCTGATCTTGGGAACAAGGCTGATAAAGCTCGAGCCTGTCTCAGGTTGGATCAAGTCAGCCTCGTGTCCGCCTCCTGAGATCAACTTTCCGATTCACAGTTTCTGCATCTGGTCACCCTCACCGTCTAGCGGTTGCACTTCGAAAGACTTATCCTTTTTTCTGATAACCACTCTCCGCAGTGGAGTGGAGCGTTTTATCAGATATCACCAGTTTTCTCTTTCCGTAGAAACGATCCTGCGTGTGCCAATCAACATGGCTGTTTGGAAGAGATACCTGATCACTTTCCTGCTGCTCGCATTATTCGTAACAGTCGCACTTGCGTCCGAGGAAGAAGAAGAAGAGGCAAGCTCGGTAAGTGTACCTCATCCCACATATCCATTTTGTAAACAATTAAAATGTACTGAGGCCGATCAGCTGAAAATGCTAACCAGCACAGTTTTTTGTTCTTTCTCGCTGTCACGTGATTTTTTGCTGACAATGTATCCAACCCCGTCCCGCCGCTATTTCTTGTGTCAGGGATCGAAAGACTCGACGCAAACCCTGAACGCAAACAAGGCGGGAGCCATTTTCGTTTTCTTCGCGTGCAGCTTCCTTGGCGTATGGCTTCCCTACTTCATTCCGGTCCACCAGCTCATTCTCAAGTTCGGAATTCTCTTTTCGACTGGTCTCTTCATCGGCATGTCACTTCTCTATCTCGCAGTTGAGACATTCGAGGAGATGGAAGAGCTCGCTGGAAAAGGTAGGCACATCTTCGCTCTCACTCGCTCGCCCTCTCGCCACTCACTTGCCTTCATTCGTTCACCTAAGCTTCATCTGTCATTAGATCCGGTTTTTCAGAGTACATCTTCAAATGCCGTCGATTTACGGCAGATGACATCCTGCTAACCCTGTTTCTCTCCGTTTGTTGACAGATTACCCTTACGGAATGCTGGTCATTGTGATGGGTATCTACCTCACGTGGCTCTGCGACCTCATCGTGAAGACCATTTGGCGAAAGAGATCTGGCTCTTTCGAAGAGAAGGTGCGTATCATAAGCCTCTAACAAGAAGACAAAACCTTCAATTGAAAAAAACACGAAGAAGTCTCGAAAGTTTGCGTGAGAATTTCACTGACATTATCTCGCCATCTTTTTCAGGAAGAGGAGCTGGGTCCAACAGTTGCTGGCGCCATGGGTGCTGGCCAGACCAAGGTGGTCGACGCAGACTCGGAGAATCAGAAGCAAATCGACGTGCAGGCTCTTTCCATCGTCGATGTCATCGTCGTGCTCTTCGCCCTCTGCTTCCACGCCTTTTTCGAGGGCATGGCTGTCGGCCTTGCGTCAACGGTTCAAAGAGTGTGGACCATGACTGCTCAGATTGGTGTCAATGAGGTAATAACCTCGTCCCAACATCTGCCATGAAATTCTCCGTTTCTTCATCTGAAAGAAGGATGATTTGCATTCCGTTATGTTTTCCCCTTGTTTAGAATCTAACAGGGGGTCCCCTGCGTGTTGTTTCACATGTTTGCAGTTTTTCGAGGGCATGGCGCTTGGGGTGACTCTCCGCGTTCAAGACACGTCCCGCTCGTGGCTCAACCACCTGCTCTTTGCCATTGGAGCTTCCATCGTCGCTCCCACTGGAATCGCCATTGGTCTCGCGATTGATTCAGCAAGCGGCAAAGAGGCTAGGAACTGGGTGAAGGCCTTCGGAAACGGCATGGCTGCCGGGGTATTTATATTTATCGCTCTTGGTCATTTGCTGGCCAAGGGAATGAAGCCAGGAGCCAATGATAGGTGGTGGATGGTGTTCGTCAAGTGGTTTGTGGCAGGGCTTGGTGTCATGACCAATGCTCTACTCCAGCTGTGGGGAGAGAGCTGAACATAGCAGCTCTCAGCAAGTGCTAGACTACTGATAATTTAGGAATTGTATTATGAGCTACCTAATTATATCCAAGCAAATGTCGTCCCTCATGATATAATTTCTGCAGGGGAGCAATATTCATACCCACAAAAACAATGTGGAACACTATTTATCCCAGGATAATAATAATAGTAGTAATAACAATAAGAAAAAAGTCCTACAGCTGAGTAGGGATGGTAAATTGCTAATATCAGTATGCGGCATGGTAAATTGCTACGATAATACCAGAAGCCCATTATTGTCCGCGCACCATGAAGCCCATTTGAGCATGATTTAGTATTGCTAACTATACCGTAGCTAGCATATAAAAGCAGAGGAGAAACTTGCTCTTGCTGCTCGAATTTGCTCCCATAGCCTCTCCTCTCCTGTCCGACAAAACAGATAGAGCATGGGAAAGGCAGGGTAATCAAACGAAACTGAAGCCCATACAATATGCACAAAGCATACGAAGGATACGAGGAGAAGTGGAAGTGGGACGCGTCAATGCACAATAAGGAAGAGGGTTGAATGGAGGACACAGAAAAAAGAAATACCTTATTACCTTATGTCGCTTCCCCCTCATTTCTGCTGCTGCTCCTTCTCCTGTGTCATGCCAGCACCCGATCACCTGAGAGTCACAATTGCTTAGGAGAAAACAGAGTGAGTGGGAGATGAGGAAGTGGGAGTATCAGGGCATGTTCCTACAGCCCCTTATCAGACGAACCTCTTGTCAGCTTCGCATGGTTAAATTTGTTTCAGTATAATCAACTGCGGTTACGTGTGTTTCAGTGCGGTTCGACGCGAATCTGACTAGAGGCCGTAGGAACACGCCCTCAAGACACAAAAAACAAGAGGGGGTGGGTGAAATAGAGAACAGGCACGAACACGCTAAAGGTAAGCATTTTACCGTACTAGGAACTAGGAAAAACTAAGCAATCTTTCAGGAAAGAGAACGAGCCTTAACATGCCACAATGCACTCCCATGTGCTCCCTTCGTGCCCTTCCATGCTCCCAAGACAACGATAAATATATACACAGGATAAAGATATACCGGGGGGAGTAGACAAAGACGTACATACCTACATAAGAAGGGAAAATACACAAGCCAGCAAAAGGTGACCCAGAATAGCAGAGACCGAGGAGTGGATTGTGGTAACTTGAAATCTTACCAGAGTTTCGGTTCGGAGTGTAGGTTCGGTCAGGGCAGCGCTACTCCCTTTTGTTCACTGCCTTTCACTCATTTCATCTGAGGATC